TTTCGAGAAGTGATCAGGTTTCGCTACCTCAGGGACATGATCGTAGATCGTAGCGATGTATACTATAACTATTCGATAACTTTAGTTATTATCAGTTTGGACTAGTAAATCTCGGACTGAGCTAATTCTCTCTAAAACCGTATTCTCCGACAAAGAAAAATATCTATTATATAAAGAGACATACACTCCATCGATATTATAATTACAATAAAATGTTGAGATTAAATATTTAGGAAATTGCCTTTAAAACTAAAGGAAGAAATAAAGATGAAACGAAAGAAAAGAGAAAAAAGTCTTTTACACATTGCTGCTCTTTCAGATAATTTTATATTTTAAATATTTGAAACATTAAGAACAATATTTTATTGGATAAAAAAGGATATAAAATATATATATATATATAGGATAAAAAAGAAATAAAGAGTGTATTCAGAAATTTTTTTAGAAATTATTATAGAGAGCTTCAAAGAATAGCAAAAAAAGTTTTACAATAAAAATCACAGTCGTCGCGAGCGATAAAACCACATCCCTCGAATCTGATGTCGTTGTCTTCATCAAAAAATCATGGAGGGATAACTGCGGGGCGCCCATTAACGACGCGTATCTCACGCAAGATCGAACCAGAATAATGCCCTCTTAAGATGATCACCGACTTAGTTGGCGGAAAGACTCGTCAAGATGGTCGTGTTAACAATCCCTCGTGAACGAATGAAGCTCGAAGGAAACAAATCGGCGAATCGTTAACGATCGTATTTATCGGGCGGAAACCAAATTAAAAAAAAAAAAGTATCGGCCTATCGGCTGGGTATATCGCCACGTCCGCTGGGGAACAGATAATTAAAGATTAAAAGCGTTCACGCTCCGCCCTGCGTCTAATACGCAATCAATGTTGTCTCACATTTTACATTATCTTATATTTTATATCTTGCTTTAATGCTAATAAAAATTAGAAATAATCATGGGCATATCTCATTAGGCCTTTTCAACATAAGAAAAAAATTAGTCATGCGTTATACTATTTGCAGTAAGGGACGAAAGATCAATGTTTCCCGCTACGAAGAGCGAATTCGCGTTCCGCTGAATGATTAACGGTGTTTTGGTAACGGCGGTTTAGGGCGAATCCGAGATGCCGATACCTTAACTGTTTCTCTTCTCATCGGCAGCTGTGATATCGTGAGGCACTTTCATAGCGGAGTTCGCGTTATTGGATTGCGGCGGATACCGCGGCTCAATTATTTACTCTCTCTCTCTCTCTCTCTCTCTCTCTCTCTCTCTCTCTCTCTCTCTCTCTCTCTCT